TCTTTACTGTGGAATTGGAATCACTGCCCAATTGCTTGGATTCAGCAGTCAATCCTTGGACATTTTTTTTTTTTTTTTTTTTTGGTGGCTGTCTGGTATGGGTATCCAAACTCTTGACCTTGGTATTATCAGCATTATGCTCTAACCAAGTAAGCTAACCAGCCAGCCCCTGGAAATTTGTTGTTTTACACCAAAGGTAAAAACCCAGATCACGTCCATGACTCTTATCCTTCTAATGTCTCCTAATGCTCTGCACGGTTTAAACATCAACGTGCACGAAAGGATATAATAGTGAAAAGCCTTTTCCCCATCCCCCACCCCTATGCCAATCCTCAGTGGTACCATGGCACAGGTCTGTGAGTCACACAGCCCCAAGCTGGAATCCTGCCTTAACCTTTTAGAAGATACAGATGGGACCTGGGGCAAATTTCTTAACTCTTCTGAGCTTCAGGTTCTAAATCTGTGAGACTAAAACAGGCACCCCAACACAGGCCTTGCAGAATGGACACAAGAACTATAGGAGGTAACTTGTGTCAAGTGAGCTCCATGCACACCTTTCCCCTCTGCCTGCAGTGCCACGCCTTCTCGCCAGCTCCCAGCCCCTGTTCCTCTGGTGAGCTCTCTCGCAGGCTTCAACTCAAACATTACTTCCACTGTGAGGACTCCTCAGCCACTCTCCAGGCCAAATTAGCTATTTTTTGTTGTCTTTGCTCCAAACGCTTCCTTGTACAGCCCTGCACATCAATACATTTTGTTCCAGATTAGCAAGGCATGACATAGCAATATAGGCTCATAAGTTTAAATTTTTTTTTACCTCTTTATCCCTAGTCCCAATTATAACTCTTGACATAAGGTAGATAAATTATAAATGTTGGTAAATGGACAAGTTTAATTCCATTGAATAGATACCCGTAAGTGGGATTCCTAGATAACATGGTAGCTTCATTTTTAACTTTTGAAGGAATCTTCATACTGTTTTCCATTGTGGCTGCATCATTTAACATTCTCACCAGTTGTGTACAAGTGTTCACTTTTCTCTGCATCCTTGCCAACACTTATCATTCGCCTTTTTGATAACAGCCATCTTAACAGGTGTGAGGTGATATCCTGTGGTTTCAATTTACATTTCTCAAATAATTAGTGATGTTGAGCACTTTTTCATATGCCTTTTGGCCATTTGTATGTCTTTTTTGAAAAAAAAAAAGTCTATTCAGTTCCTTTGCCCATTTTTTAATCAGGATATTTGTGTTTTTTTGCTATTGAGATGTAGGGCATCCTTATGTATTTTGGATAAAACTCTTTATCAGATATGAGATTTGCAAATCTCTTCTCCTATTCCATAGATTGCCTTATCATTTTGTTAACTGTTTCCCTCACTATGCAGAAGCTTTTTAATTTTATGCATACCATTTATCTATTTTTATTTTTGTTACTTGCATTTTTTCAGTGTCATATCCAAAAAAATCATTGCCAAGTTCAATATCAAGAAGCTTTTTCCTATGTTTTCTTCTAAGAGTTTTATGGTTTCAGGTCTTATGTTTATTTATTTATTTATTTATTTTTCCTTTTTGTCTTTTTTCGTGTCTGGCAACGGACCGCAACCCTCAGTGTCACGCCCGTACCGGACCGGGACCGGCAACGGGATCGCAACCCTCGGTGCTGCGCCCACCCCTCGCCCAGCCAGTGAGTGGGAACCGGTCTGTATGTGGGATCCGAACCCTCGGCGGGAGCGCCACCGCGCCCCCAAGCGATGCACTGTAGCAGTGCGCCACCGGGCCGGCCCTCAGGTCTTATGTTTAATTTGATGAGTTTACAGATAAATATACAAATATATTTTTCAAAAAAGGAAATTTTCAGAGGTGATGCATGTGTTTTATGGTGTTGATTGTGCTGCTAATTTTATGGGTGTATTTTTATCTCCAAACTCATCAATTGTATACATTGAATATGTACAGCTTTTTGTATGTCAATCATACCTCAATAAAGTGTTTTTTTAAAATACTGTATTTCACATGAATAATAAATATGCATTGAAAGTCCTAAGAGATAGACAGAGACTAGAAGCCACATTCCTGCAGGAAACATCACATAATTGAAGAAGAATTTGTTATGGGATCTCATGTGCTGAACAAGGCTTAAAAAGCACAGTGAGACATTTTCATATGACATTCTTTGTGCCACCAGGCGAAAATCCTTGCTTGATGATTCTACTTAGACTTCAAGACTACAAACACGTGTCTAGTTTCAAAGAGAATGGGCAGAAAACCCAGGAAGATGTCTAGACTGGGACCATTTCAAAGATGTCACTGTTCCTTGGTGATGGATGGGTATTTTGGTCTTCTTCTCTATGTTGCTTCATATTTGGCCATAAATGCCATAAAATGAGAATCTATCTGGTTAAAAATGTGTGGATATATTCTTGAGGAGCTCTCAGTCCGTGCTGCAATGGTAAGCAGTAATATAATGTGCTGAAATAATTACAACTGATTAAAATAGTATCAAACTGCAAACTCATCATACACAAACACAAGGCCATGACTACCTGGTGGCAAGAAGAGGGTATGTGTGAACTGGGCTGAACCAGGCTTCCTTCCTCCGTGGCATGCTGTCATAGATTAAAAGGTCTTTCTCAGTCAGTACAACCAGGGCTGGTTTCCATTGTTTCTCGCTCTCCCCTGGCACCTGAAACAGAAGGCAGAGAACTGTCAAACAACAGCCTGAGTAAAGGGTGATTGAAAAAGAGAAGCTGGCATCCACACAAGTAGAGTACCCAACAGTAAGAGTGTCTTTTGGTTCAGGTTGCAAAATCAAAAGAAAAAGAAAACCCAATCATGATCCCATGATTCCTGCTTCTTGAAAATATCTCTTGTCTCAAGGGCCCTAGTGTGTACAGTCAGTGCAATGAAGAACCAGCCATCTGCCGCACATCTGTCCCATTTCTCACCTGCCAGTCAGCACTGAATTTTTATTTCACAGAGAGAGGCAAATGCTTGGGGGAATAAGCACGCCCAGCTGAATCTCTGGTGCAGTGTATTTGGTTTTATTATGAAGTGGTAAGGTTTGAAAGTTTTTGAATAAATATCCAAAGGCTCTGAAAAATGTACAATGGAGGCAAATGTCTACCAAATATGGTGAGACATTTCCCCTAGTCATTTGCTCTTAGATTGGTTCTGTGATTCAGATGCAGTCTTGACATTTTTCTTGTTCTGTTGAATGTTCAGTTTCACTCAATGCAGAGAATTCTTTAACTCGAGGGCTAAGATGACCTGGCAGGAATGTGAGAGGATTCAAGCATCAATAAGATGATCGGACCAGGTGACCTTTAATGTCCCTTCCAATCCTGAGAGTCTAGATAGCTCAGATCTTATTATGTGAGCCATCCCACTGGGCCCAGTGTTAATCTTTCCCCAAATTCCTAAATGTTCTTCCATCTATGAAAATGCTCTCCTTCCAATTCCCACTCTGGGCCCCTGAGATAAATCTTTAAGCTTGGTTTGGAAAACCTCAGTGCTCTAGCCTTGCTACTCAAAACACAGACCATGTTTCAGTAGCCTCAGCATCACCTGGGAGCTTGCTAGAAATGCAGAGACTCAGGTCCATCCAGACCTACTGAATCAAAATCTGCATTTTAACAGTATCTTCAGTTAATTCATATATTCATTAAGGATTAAGAAGCACTGCTGTAGATGAGGTTGATTGTCTTTGAGAATGGAAATTAATTCAGTAAAGATTCAACCCTCTCATGCCAAGCCACAACTCAAAATCTATTCAGAATTATAGTAAACTAGACAGTAAGCTAAATAAATGATAAAGCTAATTTCTTCCCTTCACATTCTTATCATTACCTTAAGTGCCACAGTGAAATGTCTGTGTGTGTGTGTGTGTGTGTGTGTGTGTGTGTGTGTGTGTGTGTGTGTGTCTTTTGGCTTAAGCAAACATCCATGACCAGTATATTAGGGATGAGTGATCAGAGTAGAGAGATGTGCAGGATGGTGGAAGGGCTGGGTTTTGTAGGTCCTGCGTGTAGGCTGCCTGAGTCTGAGTCTCAGCTCTGTTTATTGCCTGTGTGACTTTGGACAAGTTATTATTCTCTGTGCTTCCATTTCCTCACTGATAAGGATGACATCTTATACAACAGTGGTTAAGAGTGCAGGCTCTGGAGCAAGAATGCCTGAACACCAATCCTCGTGCCACAATTTACCAGCTGTGGAGTCTTGAGCAAATCAGCTAATTTCTTTGTATCTCAGTTTCTGTATCTGTAAAGTAGAAAATAATAGTACCTATAGCAGAGGGTTGTTGTGAAGATTGAATGAGTTAAAGTTTATAAAATGCTTAGCGTAGTGCAGAATAAGCATTGTATAGGGACCTGCTAAGTGGCAATTACCTCCTAATGCTACAGAGGGGATTAAATGAGACAGTATGTGTAATGTGCAAAGCAGGATAGCTGGCAGATTGTGCAGCCCTTAGTAAAACTTAGCGTGGGGAAATTGTGGCAGACCCATCAAGTTTTAAACATGTCAAAAAAGGTGTGTCTTGGAAGTGGCATCAAAATGACAAGGTAATAACTTTCCTTGGGAGAAATTATAAGGCAAGCCAGTAATATTTCTGGTGCTGACAATTTTAATACCTTCTCTTCCCATTCTTTCCAAAGTTCTCCCAGAAAGAACTTGTTGCACAATGAGCACCTTTATTTTTTTAATGTCCCCCTTCCAACAATTCTAAACAAAAACTCAATTTCTAAAGGAGGAGTCCCCATCCCCTCTCCCTGGCTGTAAAGCTATTTATACTAGAATGTGAATGCCTGTCTGGCTTATTCCCCTCTTTATGCATTTTATAAATATTTTAAAAATTTAGATTTAGCCTATTGCTAAAGCTACAACAGCATCTTCAAGAAATCAAAATGGATTGTTAGAGAAAGCAATGTACCAGACCCTACAAGGTGAATAAGCTATGTTCTCAAGGCATAAAGAGTTTGGGGGGGCTTGGAATAAATTTTTTCCAGATTCTACATTAAACTAGTAAATTACTTTTCCAGCTCATTTAATAGGACTAAAGAAGTTAAAAATGATCTTTCCAAAGTAAGTATCTTACTTACCTAGTAAGATCTGATCCATTAACTTTGACCAGAATCAGTCATTTAAATGTGAACATCACTAAGCATCATTCTTCAAAAACAATAATAAGTTTGCAAAATAAAACTCAACAGTAAACACTGACAGTAAAATTCAGACCTCTCTACTGGTGGAATCATGAACTTGCCCACATGTCAAATTGTATATGTAGGTTTGAATAATTCCAAAGCCCTAAAACATTTATGGTTTATTTAAAAAGGCCCCATATGGATACATTAATCTCTGCTTTGAGAATACTCAAAGTGGGCATTTGCCACCATTCCTGTGTTCAGTCATCAGTTCAATGCCATCTAAATGCTCGAGGATAGAAGCTGTCCAACTGACTTTGCAAGGAAAAAAGTTTCATGTTAAAGAACCAGGTTTTTAAAACCATACCTTGTGCTATGTAAGTTTCACATTTCGAAACTTTGAAAAACAGTTTTCATCAGGCTCAAGATTTGTGCTATTGTTTTAGTGACAACTTGCATTATAACTCCAGCTTGCCTGACACCCAAAAATATTCCAATGTTAGTGCAACAGCTAACGTGCAACATGATGTCCAAAACAGATATGACTTCCATCTCCATCCCAGCTTCCTGCCTTGGATGCTACAGTTGTCAGTTTCTCAAGAACAGATCACATTTTTAATGAAGAAGTTGAAGGAAAGGAAAAAGGAAAATAAACGTTTGATTCTGAAATTATTCTGAAGCACAACTTTGGTGAGCTGAATCCTGTCCCCATGTTCACTTCCATGGAGCATGAGAGGAAAGGTTTACAAATGGCAAGAAGAATGCAAAAGGTGGTGGTAAAAAGTTTCTGATTAGAATTCTGGGAAGTGGAGTTATTGAGTCCTCAGTTTGAGATGAGTCTCAAAAGTCATCTAGTTCAGTGGCTTTTGGACTCTTTAAATTCATTAAACCCCTTTGTTTGGGTTAAATTACAAGTCATAGAACAATATGTAAAACATTGAAAGAGAGTTTGTATGGGGCTGCAGAGTGGTTGGGATCCTGGCACCTCAGTGACATTATGTCCTTATCCTACCACCACCCACGCCTCTGAGTGGAGTTGCTAACAATCCTTGGAATTTGGTTTGAAAATGACTGAGCTTGTTTCCTCTAAAATACCTAGAATCTGCAGATTACTTCCAAAGAGACAGTGTTAGCAAAATATTTCAGTGTATTTTTTGTTGTTATTTGCAAAGAAAAAGGATGATACTGTTGTCTCGTAGACAGACGTGTAAGGATTAAATGAATTAATACAAATAGAAGGCTTAGAAAAGTATCTTGTACACAGTAAGTAAGCAAGCCTTAAAAAATGTAAGCTACTTTTATTATTACCTGAAGGTTAGGATAGTGAATATCAAATTAATGACCTGAGTGAACTTGGGCAAGAATTACTTGCTTTTGCTGGGTCTGCCAGATGATGGGTGAGAATAAATTATTGCTAATGGCCTTTCCAACTTCAAAAACCAAACATCTTTTTAAGTTTAAAATTCCCTGCTACTAGGCTGGGACTGCTTCAGCTACTCTTGCTTTACAGCTCTTCTTTGTTACCTGAGCTTTATTCACAGGGCCAAAAACAATGTGTGGATCTCTTTTTCTCTCCCCAGGCCATACTTATGTTCTTTCTTCGTGAGCAGGGGTGGTAGGCAAAGCTCATAGTCTTTAGAGACAAACAGCATGTCTTCAAAATCTGGCTTTGCCACTTTCCAGCTCAGGGATGTAAACAGATGAGTTAACTGCTATAGCACTTGTTTGCTGAGGTGTAACATGCTGGTAATGGCCTCCCACGGACATTTTGTGAGCATTAAATGGGACAATATACATAAAGCACTCCCCACATAGTGGGTACTCCAGATGTTAAACTGCCCCCATTGCTCACTCTAAACACACTCTTTCTTCCAGCTCTACTGCTTAAGAAGGAAGGCCTAGATGAAGGGAGAGTGATCAATACAGAGTAAAATAAGCTCACGAAGGAAGGTCAATCACAACTTTTGTGTTGGAGACCATGGTTATCTCAACCACTTTTTAATTTAGATCTGTTTCACCTCAAGTTGCTAGGTATTTTGAACAAAGGACAAGATACCAGTGTAATAATAATTAGCATTTATCAACTTACAGATGTTTTACAAACAGATAATTAATTCCTGCACCAACTCTCAGAGAGGCTGATAAAGATCATCTCCTCTTAATCAAAGAAGAAGAGGAATATCATTTAAAGGAGGCCCTGGGAACACAGGGAAAGCACTAAGAAAGGCCACACAAATTTCCAACTTTTTGAATCTCACCCTGAACAATCCCCAAGACCCAGCAAGCAGGAGCCTGACAAGACAGCTATAGCAGAATGCAAAGGAGAATGAAAAGGAACAGAAGGCAAAGGAGGATGGGAAAGAAGACTAGAAAAAGAAGGTTCAGGAAAGTGTTCTGTGGGAGCCTCAGCTTCATGGGATAAATAACTCTCTTCTCACACAATTCCTAAGTTCTTTGGCATCTGAATCACCTGCTGATTCAAGAGTGGCTCAAAGAGGGGAGTAAACTAAGTGATCCATTGTGTCTGATGGATGTTAAGACA